TTGGCGGGTCCGGGCTGGGGATTCGAACCCTCCACCTTAGGTGTACGTGGCTGGCGCCTTAGCCGGTTGAGCTATAGGCGCCGAGCCGAGGGGAACATTTCTGATTGGACTTGGCCTTGAACATGGTTAACAAATGGACACTCTTACATGAAAACAAAAAGACAAAATATTAAGAAGAGATTAAAAAAAAAGTCTTTAACACATTGACTGACACACTAGAAAAACGTTTTTCCTTACCACATTTGAAAAAAATTTTTTTCCTTGGGGCCACGGTATTTTATTAGGTCAAGAGATGTGTGAGTTAAATATGCTTCATGATACCCCAGACCCAAAATTAGTGTAAGTAAACCCAGACTCAAGTTAGTATAAGTTGAATACAATTCACATAGTAGTTAATGTGTTAAATTAAAGTTTTATTATTACTATTATCTATTTTCTTTTTAAACGCCTTTTTATAGGTCCAGTACCATACTATATAATTCAAGTTCAAAGTAATAGCAGTGAGCATCAGTGAATCATCAAAGTATCAGTGATATTCACTATACACTTGGGTACACTGGTTAAGGTTGAGGGGGCACAGCTAAGAAATACCTCACAAATTCTTCCTGAAATGTTAAGACAATCAACTTTGAGGAAACAAAAAACAAACAGATCTTCCTAGAAAAATTAGTTGAGAGAGCACTTGGCTGAACTGCACCTAAATGAAAGCTGACTAAATGACTGACTAAATGACCGACTAAATGACCAGCATGTGGGCATTTGTTACCTATAAGCATGAAAAAGATGATAAGGAACCAAAGAGGCTCTTACATCAAGGCTTCTACAAGCACATTAGGAAAGCTCTGGATAGACCCACTTTCTGTGAACACAGGACATAGATCAAGGGAACAAATTTCTTTTTTTTTTTGAGACAGAGTCTCACTATGTCACACTTGGTAGAGTGCTGTGACATCACAGCTCACAGCAACCTCAAACTCTTGGGCTTAAGCGATTCTCTGGCCTCAGCCTCCCAAGTAGCTGGGACTACATCACCAAGCATCATCACCAGGCGCCCACCACATCACCCAGTACTTTTTTGTTGCAGTTGTCATTGTTTAGCTGCTGGCCTGGGCTGGGTTTGAACCCACCAGCCTCAGTGTATGTGGCTAGCACCGTAACCACTGTGCTCTGGGCTCCAAGCCAAGGGGAACAAATTTCTTTTTTCTTTCTTTCTTTTTTTTTTTAATGTAATAACAAGTTTATTTATAAATCTCCTCCAGACTCTCTCTGTGTATATATGTGTACGTATATATATATGGACACATACTAGAGAGGGAGGCATAGTTTAAAATTATCATTTACAAATTTCAAATCAACTATCAGGAGCCAGCTTTAATGGCATCTGTAGGCCACCTCTAAGTACTATTCACTATAGCACTATAGGGGAATGAGCTTCCACAGCCACATTAGCTTATTTAATTCCATGCCTGGGTCACACATGATTATGACAGAGTCAAGACAGAGACAGAAAGAAGTAGCCTTAGTTCATACTGTAATCAAGTTCCTGGTTCCAGCCATCATAAACAGGGAAGCCATATACTCCAAATCATATCATCTAAAACAGGGCATATTTAATAGTGAATTAGAGCAATAAAAATAATTAAATTATATAATTTTCAAAAATATAACTTACCAAACAGATTAAAAAGAAATTCCTATATGCTTACATAAATTTAATTATAACAAAAAGTCTTCCCACAAAGAATACATTATACTAAGAAGGACCTGAGAGTTTTACAAACAAAGTTTATAATACTTGACTTTTTAAACAGTGTTTCAAACTTAGGCACATTCTTTCAAAAAGGGGAAAGAGAGGATGTTCTCAACTCATTCTATGAAACCTTTATGACATTGATCCCAAACAGGAAAGAATAATACTAGAGAGGAACAGTGCAGGTCACCTTTACTCATGAATAAAGTTGCAAATATTAGGAACAAGAAACAACCCAGTTGAGTTTTTCCCAGAAATGCAATGATGGTTTGATATTGTTAAGAGAGCTTTACTGCACATACTATCATACTGAATCTTAATTTTTTGACCACTGTTATAGGAAGATTTGGGGCAGAAAAAAAGTAGATTTTGAGAAATGTACTATAGTAACAGTTCTATGATTTTACTTGGATTACCTAAATATGTCTAAACATATACTGCATTAACTATTACAGATAAAACATATAATCATTCCAAATAATGGAGAAAAAGTATTTTATAAAATTCAATATGTCTTTATAATTAAAGAAAACAACTTTTGTCAAAATAAGAAGGGAGTTTTTAATACCTATAAAGTTATCTACCAAAAATCTAGAGCTAACATAATTTTTAATAATGAAACTTTAAAAGGATTCTCTTTAAAATTAGAAACAAGACAAAGTTGCTTTATTACATTCTTATTCAATTTTGTACTAGAAATTTTAGCCAGAGTAATAAGAAAAGAAAATGAGAGTCCGGGCATTACAGGCTCACACCTGTAATCCGAGCACTCTGGGAGACCCAGGCAGGTGGAATCCCTGATCTCACAAGTTTAAGACCAGCCTAAGCCAGAGCAAGATCCTTCTCTTTCTAAATGGCTGGGCATTGTGGCAGGCTCCTGAGACAAGAGAATTACTTGAGCCCAAGAGTTTGATGTTGCTGTGAGCTGTGACACCACAGCACTCTACTGGGAGCAGCAAAGTGAGACTCTGTCTCAAAGAAAAAAAGAAAACAAAATAAAAGGTAAAAAAAAAAATTGGAAAGAGAGACAAAATTATCATTATTCATAGAAAATGTGATTGTTCAAGAAAAAATTTAAAATGATGCACACCTAATCAATTATAATCAAGAAAAGTTTTTCCAGAGCAACTGAATATAAGATCAATATTCAACCAAGTGTTGTGGTAGGCACCTGTAGTCTCAGCTACTCAGGAGGCTGAGGCAAGAGAATTGCTTGAACTAAAATATACTAATAACCTGAAAATATAATTTTATACAATTGCCAAAGGAGAAAAAAAACCAAGAAAGTATCTAGGAAGAAAACTAACTTTTCTTTCTCCATAAAAGTCGACATTTATGGAGAAAATTATGAAATTCTTGGAAAATATTAATGAGACCTAAATAAATTGATAGATCCACTGTGTTTACAGAAAGAATCAGTATCATAAGAACGTCACCTTTCTCCAAGTGGAGCCATTGATTGAAGAATACTCTGCCAAAATCCAAAACCTAGCAAAACTACGTATATTTTCATCAGAACTTGAGAAGCTGATTCTAAAATTCATATGAAACATTAAAAAACTCAAGAATAACCAAGGCACTCCTAAAGAATAAGAATAAGGTAATGATGGGAAAATAGCAAGACATTTTACCACTATGAAAGTAAAAACAATTGGTATTCGTGCAGTGACAGATAATTCCAGTCGTGGAGCATAGCAGAGCTTCTAGACACGGCCATGGAAACAAGAGGGAGGGCATCACAAATCCCTACGATAGAGGAGGACTATTTTATAGAAGGTGAAATTATCCACATGATTTAGTTCTTTTTTTTTTTTTTAAACTAGAAGTACCATAAAAATCCACATGGTTTAACAACTGAAATTTTAAAGGCAAACCTTTGGAAAATATTTTAAAGAAAACAGAATATTTCTTGTCACCTCAAAGTAAAAAAGGATTTCCTAAAAGCACTAATCATAAGAGAAATGATTGGTACATATACCTACATTAAAATGACAAACTCATATTTCTTTGTCAAAAGACACCAGAAAGAAATTTCAAAGGCAAGGCACCACCTGGGAGAAGATACTACAGTAGATGTAATTTGTATAGGAGTAGAATACAGAATATATAAAGGATGTTTTCAAATAAATAAGAAAAAGGGCAACCTCACAGAAAAATAGGCAGAAGACATGAAGAAACATTTTACAGAAGAGGTGACATGAATATCTCATAAGTATCAACCTTATAAGTAATTAAAAAGAAAATTAGAAGCGAGGAAGATACCGTCTTATTCCTCATAGACTGAGGGAAGGGAGAGAAAGAATCAAACAGTAACAAGTCCTGCTCAGAGAGCTGACGTGGAAGTGGAATATTTTCATACCCCACAAGCCAGCAATTCCACCCCTAGTGTAAATCCTTGAGAACAGCTTCCCTTAGGCACCAAAGCACACACACAAGCATGACTACAACAGCATGGTTCATAATGACCAAAACTGGAACCAAATCAAATGTCCCTTAACAGGAAAATGGCCAAATAAACTACAGTTGCTGTCACCACAGATTATTAAACCAACAGGAAAATGAATAAACTACACAGCTCAGCTTAACAGCCCTGGATGAATCCCAGAGATGTTACAGTGAGTGGAAAAAAAGGAAGTTATCAAAGACAACATTGTTTTCTTTTTTTTTTCTCTTCCTTTCTCTTTCTCTCTTCTCTTTCTTTCTCTTTCTCTTTCCCTTCTCTCTCTCCTTTTTCTCTCTTTCCTTTTTTTTTCACACTCCCACTCTGTTGGCCAGGCTACAGTACCATGACATTATAGCTCACAGCAACCTCTCACCCTGGGGTTCAGGAGGTTTTCCCGCCTCAGCCTCCCAACTAGCAGGAATTACAGGTGCCTGCCATGATGCCCAGCTAATTTCTGTATTTTTGGTAGATACAGGGTCTCACTTTTCACCTTGT